GGAGGCGGGCAGAGGGAGGGGTGGCAAGGGCCCAGAGAGACGGGCCAGAGAGGCCCACAGGGGACAAGACAGAGGTGGAGTGGACAAGAGAGAGGCACCCAAATGTGCCTATTTGTCTATATACCAGGTGGGTGTGGTGTCCAGGAGGCAGGACAGCATAATGGTTGTGAGCCTGGGCCTGGGAGGCAGGCAGCTCTCAGCTGGAGGCCTCATGTAGAAGACTACCCCTACCCCTCTCTGAACCTCAGTTTCTTCCCCTGTAAATGGGGATAATCGTAATCTCTACCTCTGAGCACTAACATGGGGATCAAGTGAGATAATTAATGCATGTAAAGAACTCAAAACAGCTCCTGGCACACAATGAATGCCTCATACATACTGGCCACTCAGCTCTGACTGATGGCACAGGGCGTCTGGTGCGCGTGTGTTTGTGAGAGTGTGTCTTAGCCAGGTGGGTGTGAAGGTCTGAGTATCTGTGTTGTGTAGGTAGGCACAGGGGTGTGTACAAATGTGCCTCTGTGTACATCTGACTGCATGGCTCGGTGTCCGTGTGTTTCTGTGCACGGAGGGGTGTCTTGGTATCTTGGTATGTGACTAGATGTCTGTGAACAAATACACATAAATATGCATCTTTCGTATGTTTGCATTTATTCAACAAATATGTCGGACACCTACTATGAGCCAGGCTGTTTTAGGTGCTGGGGATACAACGGTAAATGAACAGACAAAAACCCCTACCCTCACCTACACATCTGGATCTACATCTGTATATAAGTAAATTATAGAGCAAGCCACATGGTGATCAGACAAGCAAAGACAGGTGCTACAGAGGAAAATATGGCAGGGAAGGGGGCTAATTGGTAGGTAGTTTCCCATTTTTTACATAGGGAGGTCAAGGAAGGTCTTACAACCGAGAGGACATTTGAACGACTTGGCGATGAGGTAGTGAGTCACTAGTTCTCTGGGGAATTGCACATGAAGCAGTAGGAAGAGTGTGCAAAGGCCCTGAGGTGCACATGTGCTGGGGCAGCAGAGGCACCTGGAGGAGGCTGGTGTGGCTGGGGCGGCGTGGGAAGTGGAGAGGAACAAACAGGTCAGACTTATCTCAGGGCCACACTGGGAGGCCTTCTGGCATGTACTTGGAAAGTGAGTGAGGGCGCTGGAGGGTTCTGAGCACTCTCTGACCGAGGTTTGAAGGGGCCCCCAGAAGTGTCTATATGCAGGGCATCTGTGTGTCTAGGGGGTAAGGGCGCTCACCGCGGGGCCCGGGTAAGTGCTGACTTCGCAGTTCTCCCTCCAAGACATGTTGAGGCTGCGCACAAACTCGGGGTAGAAGGGGTGCGAGGTGTTGAACATGGAGAAGCCCAGGATGTTGGAGGAGTCCTCCACGATACCGTCCAGGTGCAGGATGGGGAAGTCCTATGACCGAGAAGACGGGGTGAGGCCTGGGGCCGGGCCCCACATGGGGCAGACGCTGTGGGAGGGCCGGAGGGGCTGGAGCGGGTACGCACCATGGTGGTGAGGATGTACTTGTAAAACGCTGAGGTCATTCCCAGCTCCGAGGCCTGGAGAACACGGGAAGGTAGAGGCGGCAGGAGAGGCAGAGACCCACAGGCAGAAATGGAGAGAAGCCGAGAGAGAAAGAGAGATTGAGAGACAGGCCTAGTGAAGACACCTTGTGGGAAACAGTAAGAGACACTCAGAGACAGAGCGAGACAGGGAGAAGGAGACACGTGCAGGCAGAGGGGGACCTTGGTCCCTCATGTCGCACGACGCTGACTGACTGGTGCCCCAGGTGGGACGCAGATTTTGCTAGAAGAGAGAATGGCGCCGTCAGATGCCCACGTCCCTTTTTAGGGCACTTAGAAAACTGCCTTCTGGAGACAGTTAGGTGAAGGGACACCTCAGAAATGAGGTGGGTGGGGGAGCGTATCCAGAACCTTAATCTTAATCCCCATGCTACCCCAAAGCCAAGTCTGGGCTGCTCCTATATAGGGCTCAGCCTGGTCACAGGTCAGATAAACTACCCCTGCCATCTTTAAAAGCACTTTGCAGGGGCCGGCCCTGTGGCTTAGCGGTTAAGTGCGTGCACTCCACTACTGGCAGCCCGGGTTCAGATCCCGGGTGCACACTGACGCACCACTTCTCCAGCCATGCTGAGGCGGCGTCCCACATACAGCAACTAGAAGGATGTGCAACTATGACATACAACTATCTACTGGGGCTTTGGGGAAAAAAAGGAGGAGGATTGGCAATAGATGTTAGCTCAGGGCCGGTCTTCCTCAGCAAAAAGAGGAGGATTGGCATGGATGTTAGCTCAGTGCTGATCTTCCTCACAAAAAAAAAAAAAAAGGCACTTTGCAATGAAAGGCAGCCAACTTGAATCTCAAGATGCATGTCTGAGCCCCTTTCTCACAGTCCTCCAGAACAAAGCTAGAAGACCTCTCCATGCCAGGAGTGACCAGTCCTATCCCGCTATGATCAGGAGAATGGCAAGTGACATCAGCTGGCATTGTCTGAGTGGCAGGATCTGTTATCACATGGGTTACAGCCCATTCCACGACAGGGAAGTGCAGGCTCAGAGGAAGGTGACCACTGGTCACTCAGTTCACATGGGAGGGGCCGGGACCCCAACCCAGGCCTTCCTGCCTCCCGAGCCTGACATCCTTTCTCTAAGCCTTCCAGCCTCAAGAGCCCTGTGGATTCTGTCCACACTTCTTTCTGTAAGCTAAGATCAGGAGTGACATATGGTTTTAATTAAAACAAAACTGGAGAAAAATAAATAATACAGATTAGATTATGAGGAAAAATTAAGAGCAAGGAAGCAATGAATGATTAATGAATGTGGGTCACTGATGGATGGCAGGAGGTGGGCCCAGGGGGAAGGCCCTGGCGCTAGCCCCACCCGGGTGCCCTTGAGCCAGTTCGTTCCCCCCCAAACCCCAGCTCCTTCATCCACAAAACGATCATCACACCTGGACCACAGGATGGGGTGAGAGCCAAACTGAAGAATACATGCAAAGCACCTCAACACACAGCAGGACAGGGCCAAGTACTATCCAAGTGCTTCCCCCGACACACTCATGAACCCTACATCAACCCACGAGGTAGCAACTACTCACAGAGGAGAGAGGAGTGACCAGGGGTGCAAATGGGAAGCCACTGAGCTGAGAGACAAACTTCAGGATTATCGTCTACACAAAGGAAGCAGGTCTCCACACCCCCGTGCGACCACTGAGGCCCATGGGCACTGGGTGACTTGCTCTGTCACCCCATGTTTCTGCCCATGACCCTGCAGGAAATCAGAGATGGGGCGGGGGGACCCACCTTACGGAGGATGAGGTGGGAGATGGACGCATTGGCGTCAATGATGATGGTGGACACCTTGTCGTCACGGATCTCCTTGAGCAGCGGCGTGGGGTCCCGGCTATCATCCAGCATCCTCACTGACAGCGTCTCCTTGGAGATGAGGAAGCCACGCACCAGTTCCTCCAATCGCAGCAGGCCTGAGGGAGGGGTCGGCCCGGGTTAGAGCCCCTCCGTGTGCCCAGACATGGGGAAGACACTCCCTCCTCCTCCCCAACACGGGGTAGCTGGGGAGAGAATGAGGGCGCTCAGGAGATGCGGGCAGCTGTCCAGAGCGCAGCTGGTTCTCTTGGGGTACTGGGCCCAGGGTCCTCCCGAATTAAAATCCCAACCTAGACCTCCCCTAGATCTCCAGATGCCTGTCTCCTGCCACCTTTCTGCCCTTACTGGGATATGTGACAGGCATCTCACATTTCACATGCACAAAGCCACACTGTGCTCCTCTCGCCCAAACCACCCTGTCTTCCAGGGTCAGTGAACAAACTCCACGCTGCCAGTTACTCAGGCCAAAACCCTTGCCGGCAGCCTGGCCTTCTCTCTCACACCCACACCCCATCCACGCAGGCTCTATCTTCAAAACACATCAGATGCCATGGCGCTGCACCACCATCACTGGCCCAAGCTACTGCCATCTGTTGCCTGCTACAACAGCCACACTTGTCCCCGGAGGGTCCATTCCCTACACAGCAGCCAGAACCATGTAAAGCAGACATGTCCCTCCTCTGCCTAAACCCTCCAATAGATTCTCGTTCGTTCAGAGTGAAGGCCAAAGTCCTCACAGCCTCCAAGGCCCACTCCATCTGCCCACCTGCTTCGTCACCTCCCTGACCTCGTCTCCTCCTCTCTCACTCCAGCCACACCAGCCTCCTTGCTGTCTGACACACGTGACGGTCATGCTCCTGTCTTGTGGCCTTTGCACTGGCTGTTCCCTCTGCCTGGAATGTTCTTCTCCCAGATCCCCATGCAGCTCCCTTCCTTACCACCTTCAGATCTTTACTCAAATGTCACCTCCTCAGTGAGGCCTACACCCACCATTCCATTTCAATTTGCACCCACCCCACTCCAGCACACCTCTTCCGTTTCTGCATAGGATTTATTCCAGCTACACGATGTCCTTATCTATGTTCATTGCCCAGCTCCTCCCGTTACAATGTGGTGTGAGAAGGGCAGGGATCCCAGCCTGGCTTGCACACTGCTATATGCTCTATCTTTGATACCAAGAACAACATCTGGCACACAGCAGGTGCTCAGTAAATACCTTTTGAAAGAGGAATTCCTCCTGGATGTTACTGAGCGCAGCCCTCTCTCTCTCTTAAGCTGCACAAACCCACCAGCCTAGCGGACATCTCCACTTGAATGTCTCAAAGACATCTCAAACCCAGCGTGTGCCCCTGAACTGACTGTCCCTTCCTCCTTGGGCAGAAGCCTGGTCACCACCTATGACCCCACCCTCTCCCTTCCCTCACGACTCTCCTCAACTCCATCCTGGCCTCTCCACTCCCACTGCCAGAGCCCCAACCAGCAGCATCTCTCCCTGCCTCTGGTTGGTCTCCCTGCCACATCCCGTGTCACTCTCCAGTCCACCCTCTACACTGCAGCCAAAGAGTTCTTCCTGCAATACACCTCAGGCCACATCCCCTTGCCCCGACCTGTGTGGGAGCCTTCATCATCTTCAGGATAAAATACAAGGTCCTATGTGACCATGCCCCACCCACGTGTCCTACTTCATTGCTCCCACATACCACCCACAGAGAGCATCCTTGAGCCTCTCAAAGGGGCCACACTCCCTGGGCCTCCGCCTCTGCCCTGCCATGCTGTGCCCTCTGCTCAGAGCATGCTCCCCGCCTTCCTCCCCCACTGCAATTCCTCCCCAACCTTCAGGTCCAGCTTAGATGTCCCCTTCTCAAGGATATGAGCTCCCCCAGAACCTCCCAGGCTGGGTTAGGATTCCCTCCTGTGCACTCCTACAGCCCCCTGCATGCCTCCTGACAGAGCACGTGTCACTTTGCATCACCACCACCCAACTACCGTGTTCTCCACTAGCCCTGGAGTTCTCTGAAGTCAGGGACCACACCTAGTGCTATTCACTGCTAAACTGCCAGGGCCTAGCAGGGGCCTTGCACCTAGGTGCTAGTCACTATCTGTTGACTAAATGGTCTCTTTGGGGAGGTGGGGGGGTTCTGTGGAAGCAGCAGTCAGCATTCCTAAAGGGGAAGGGATGGTGGGGACCAGAAGAGCCTGCGCCTGGGTCCCCCAGGGGTTATAACTAGGGGTCCTAATCACTGTGTGGGACACTAGATATCTTGGGAAGGGGAGTTTGGGGGAACAGAAAACAAAACATCCAGGCCTCCTCCCTCACACTCAGCCTTGGCGCAGATGAGGCTGGCCGAGGGATAGTTGAAGGACTTGAGGATTCGGGAGACTGCCAGGCTGACGTCCTCGTTACTGGGGTACAGGCTGACGGATGCGAAGCGAAGGTACTGCAGGCGCGGTGTCTCCTCGGGACCCACCTTGATGTGGGGGATCTGGACAAAGAAGTAGCCTTTGCTTCTATCCTGCTCCCCTCTCCCCACCCTTGCCTCCCAGGGACCCGCCCACCACCACCCCACACCACCTCACCTCCTTCTCCCCACAGATATGGCTCACGGTGGAGGCTGATGCAGGGCTGGAGGAGGGCCCCAGGACAGACACGACCCCCTTGGGCAGGATCTGACACACTGCGAGGGGTGGGAAGAGACCAAGAGACTGCAGAGTCAGGGACCCTCTCTCTTCTCTTCGTCCCCACTCCTCAGGGAACCGCCCTCAGGGAACCCCCACCAAGTGTTGGGAACCCCCACCAAGTGTTGGGAACCATTCAGGAGAAGATCCGACACTCAAGCTGCCTGATCGTCCTCTGCCACCCGGAACTCAGAGGCCCAAACCCTGACCCCACCCACCGCAGTGGACAAAAGGAGCTGGCACAAGTCACAGAAAGACAAGGAAACATGCCAACAGTGGGATGGGCCAGACCAAGAGAGAACAAAGGAAGGGATGAAGAAAAAACACCAGGGGCCTCCTTCTGGCTGCAGACCCAGTGCCTGGTTCCTCAGCCTTCGTCTGTCTCAACCTTTCTAACCACACTACAACCCAGGGTGCATCCAACACTCCCTCTACCCTGAACCCACGGCCAAGGTCCCCTCTACACTCTACACCCCAAACACCACTCTTCTGTGCATTTACCTGCTTTTCTTTCTTCCACTTTTTCCCCCTTAAACACGTGTGCATCTCAGGAGGTGGAAGCTGTTGTTTTTGCCTGCCCAGTGCCCACTCTCATGGCAGAACCCTAACTTTTCCTCAGGGAACCATGTGGTTCCCAAGATTGATTGGCACCTGACCCAGGATCACAGAACCACATTGTCCTGGACACAGTGATTGGTTCAGAGACGGGGACGGGCTCAAACCAGGCCATTGAGAGACTTCCTCAGGCCTTCTGCAAAAATTATTAGTGGGTTTGCTAAACTGGTGAGATGTAAGTTTTAAGCTGTTGAGGCCATCCTGCCACCAGGTGGGGAGGGCATTCCTGAAAATGAAGCCAACTCAGAGGAAAGCAGGACCCAGAGATGAAGACAGAGAGATTCCTGGAACATCATTTGGGCAACTGGATCCAGCCAGGCCTGAAACAATCTTGGGACATCATTTGAGTACCTGGATCCAACCATGCCTGAAATCAGTCCTCAGGCGTTTTCACGACATGAGCTGATAAGTTCCCTTTTCTCCTTAAGGCAGCCTGAGTTGGGTTTCTGCCACAGGCAACTAAAAGCATCATAACTAAATGTCTCATCTTCCTCCAAACTTGTTCATTCTACGCCTTCCACGCTGGTGAGGGCCCCACCACTTGCACAGACCAAATACCCGGAAACGGTCCTTGCCTTCCATCTTTCTCACAACAGCCAATTAGTCACCAAATCCTGTCTCCGTTTTGTTTTCAAATTTTCTCGCATCTGTCCACTTCTCTTCAACCCCTCCTCCCCTGCCTTACTTCAGGGCTCTCAACTCAGGCATGCACCAGCCTCCTCACTGAACACCCAAATCTAGCCCCCCAGATTCACCTTTTAGAAGCCCAGCTCCCCGGTCTAAACTAATCAATGGCTCCCCATTGCCTGCGAGTGAAGGCGGCATCTTTCAGCCTGCCACTGCAGGCCTCCTTGAGTTGGCCTGCCAATCGGCCCAGTCTCACTTCCCATTGGCCAGTCACACTCCAGCTCAGAAGTCTCTCACAACCCCCCCAAATATGTCCTGAGTCCAGGTGGTCAGGATGGCTGCAACCCCACACCCTGTTCCTTGGCTCTGAATGCTCCCCCCTCCCCTCCGCCCCAGCTCCAAACTACAGGCACAGGCCTGGAACACCATCTGCCTCCTTACCCTCCATCCCAGCATCTCCCAATTTGTATTCTATGCTGCACCAGTCAAAAAAGTCCAGCAAACATTATACCTCATCCTCTCTCTCATTGATTTGAAGTACACATGAACATCATAAAGGACCTGATAAGGCCTGTAGGAAACACTCCTATCTAAAACATGTTGGCAGGCAGCATCTCCCAAAGACGCATCTCCAGCCCACCTGTTCAAGCGCCACCTATTCACATCCGCTCAGTCCATCAGTATCCAACATATAATTACGCACCCTACTGTGCGGCTGGTCGTGCTCCACGGGGCATACTTGGACCAACACCACTCTTTCTACATCCTGCTCACCCTTCAGAGCTCAGCTTCAGTTTAGCCTTCTCTAGAACACCTTTGCTGCCCCTGCCCCTGAAGTCCCCTGGTCTCAACACCTGGGCCCCTCGTTACTCAACTCTGGGGGCTAAGCACCCCCAGCCAGCTATGAAGCTTATCTTTCAAATGAGGCCCTCAACTCCTCCAGGGCGGGACTGGGACTGGTGCTCTCCCCACCTCCCCATGCCCCGCAGCACCATCTCTGGGAAGGAGAAGGCAGAGCAGACATGAAGAAAGGGGTAGATGGAGCTAGAAGAAGACAAGGTGAGCTGAGGAGGCCGGGGGCTGAGGGACGGACTGAGGGCCATCAGCCTGCCCTGCCTCACCCCACGCCCCCTGTGGCCCTGCTCACTGGTGTCCGTGGTCTCGTACTGGCTGTCCCGCTGCAGCTCAAAGATGTCTACTTCCACTCGGGCCTTGGCTGGGACCTCGATGATCCCGTTGATCTGCTCCCGGGCCAGGGCCAGGGCCAGACGTTCACCACGGCCACACACTGTCTGGTCGTCCAGGATTGCAGCTAAAGGGACACAGGGGTTGGGGTCCAGAACTCCTGCATCCTGAGGGAGAAAGGGCTGCAGTCCTGGACTCCTGGGATCTGAGGTGGGGGTGGGCATGGGGACCAGGGGTCTAGACTCCTGGATCTGAGGCTGGAGAAAGCTGAGAGTCTGGACTTCTGGGCCCAGGGGAAAGAAGGAGCTGGAGGCGGAGGAAAGCTGCGACCTGAAGCCCAGATTCCTGGGTCCTGAGAGACTGGCATGCCTGGTTTCCCAAAGAGGAGCCCCAGGGCCCGATGGGAGGGTATCTGAGGAGGCAGGGGCAGGGGGCTGTAGGGCCTCACCCATGCGCAGTGATGAGAGCACCTGGCAGCTGGGGCTGGCAAAGGCAACAATCAGCAGCAGCAGCAGCTCAGCCGGCATCTTCCTCCCCTCCTCATGGGGACGCAGCTGCCGCGGCCCCCACTCGCCACCTGCAGGGAGATCCCCAACCCATGGGGAGATTGCTGATGTGGGGGCTTCAGAAGCCCTTTGGAAGACTGCTGGGCAGGGTAGTAACTGCAAACCCCAGGACACTGTCAGTGAGCTCTGAAGGGCCCTGCCCTCGTTAGAAGCTGATAGTACTGAGAGCATTGCTAGCAAGAGGCTCAGGCTCAGAGGAGCACCACCACGGAGGAGCTCACGGCGCTCAGGCACTGAGTGGGAGACGCACTGCTAGAGGAGATTCACAGCTACCAAAACAGGAAGGAGGGAGGATGTGGATCTCAGGTAAGAGCAAATTTCAGGGACCATCCCCACCCTAATAGGAAACTAGGAAGTGCCACCCCCCCACCACCCAGTCCCGCCCCTGTCTCTGGGCAGGCAGCCGTTACCAGGCAACAGAAACCGGCTGGAGAGGATGCAGTGGTTGCTAGGCAACCCCATCCCAGGCCTCACTTGCCACCTTACTGACGTCCCTGGTTCCCACAATCCCATGGGGAGAGAGGTCTGGACATCCGGGGTCTGGAGGGCAGAGTATCCAGGAGTTAGGAAACTTGGAGAGACAGGGAAAGATGGAGAGAGAGAGAGACGGAGACAGAGAGAGACACATGGAGACACACAAATAGAGACAGATGTATGAACCCAAGGCTGCTAAGGGGCTAAAAAAAAACAGTAAAGAGTGAGAAGGGGGGACAGGAGAGAGACAGAAAGAGGAAGAGAAGCTGAGAGGGGGAAAATACAAAGAGACTCAGGAAAGGAGAAAGGAAAAAATAGGCAGAAACATAAAAGAGCAGAAAGACAGGAGAATGGGGATAGAAATGGAGAGAAACAGAGGAGAGTTACAAGGAGGTAAGGCTAGGGCTAGGAGGAAGAGGGAAGAGACAGGAAGACAGTGAGACATGGAAATGGAGACAGGGCAGGGCAGGGAGAAAAGAGGGAAATCAAGACACAGGAGAGACAGAATAGAACAGGAAGACAGAGAACGGAGAGAAGACACAAACCCACTGGAGATACCACCAAAGAGAGCCAGGACGGAGGAGTGAGTGAGGCAGGGAGTGTGCTGTCTGCCCAAGCAGGTGCTAAACTGTGGCCCCCCACCCTGCTCTGGGGAGCTGAAGATTAGAGGGGGAGAGTGCATCTTTGCTCCTCACAATTGCTCCACCCCAGAGAGTTAGAGATTTCACCAGGTGCCCCAGCCTTCTGCAGGGTGACCACTGGGCACAGGTGAGTTTGGTCAGATGCATGGCTCCCCAGGTCAAGGGCTATGCCTTAAGGGAAGGGACACGGGTTTCTGTGGGAGATGTTCTGTGAGGCCCAGGGTGTTCCAAGGTGAACCCAGGTGTCTCCCCTCACCCCATCTGATCCCCATGGAAAGAAGGCTTGAGCTGGTGAGATGGCAGAATGAAACCTGCTAGGCGAGGGAGAGGCACAATGCAACACTTCACACAGTCCCTTATGGCCCGGAAAACCTAGGCCAGGGCAGCAGGAGACCCCATCAGTTCCTGCTCTGCCCCCAATTCCCAGGTGACCTTGAGCCATTCCCTCTCTCTCAGGGCCTCTGGGAAAGACAGGCTGGGGAGTAGCAGGGCATGCTGGGGACCCTGGACTGTAATCTGGATCTAAGGTGAAGGCTTGTCAAGGGTGGAGGTGCAAGAGAAGCTGGGAGACCAGGAAAGGAGAACTCACAGGGGAGAGAGGTGTGGAGGGCGGGGCTAGGAGAGAGGCAGGAGTGAGGGTGGTCATCCTGAGACACTAGGGACCTCTGGGGGCAAATTAAGGAGCAGAGACTAGAGGACACAAAGACTGAGGGAGAGACAGGGGTGAGAAGGTCAGGCACCCACAGGTGGCAGACACAGGTAGGAGCAGACAGAGACAGAGTGCAGGGACAGGGCTGGGGGCAGCAAGTACACACAGAGGCACAGGAAGGTACAGAGAGAAAGACAGAGCAAAAGGAGGTCACTGGGGCTAAATGAGAGACAAGGACATACAGACACTACCTAGAAGTGAGACACCAAAGGGGGCAAACAAGAGGGAGGGTGGGAGAGAGAAGGGGCAGGGAGTCAGGCAGGCCTCAGCCCCACAGGCCCAGAGACTCAAGCAAAGCCAGAGAAAGGTGGCAACACAGCAGCCAACTGAGCAGAAGGGGCCCTGCCAGGGGAGAGAGACAAACAAGTGGGCAAGCAAGAAATATCGCAAAGGCGAGAAGGCAAATCAGGTCAGAAAAGGCAAATGGGGTGAGGAGGAGGGCGAAAAAAATGACAACAGGTACGAGAATCGTTGGAAGGAAAGATATCACAAAACTCTGAAAATAAAGAGAGCTAGTCGGAAAGAAAGAAAGAGAAAGTATGTCGGAGCCACATAGCAGATCTATAGAAGAGGAAAGGCAGGCAGGGCAGACACGAGATTGAGAGAGCCTGACTCACAAACTAGGAAAGAGGGTGAGTGAGAGTCAGAGAGGGAAACTGAGGGACCTGGAGGGGCCCAGACAGGGACAGGGCACGTGCCCACATAAGAGGGGCAAGTCCACACAGAGGTGCCACCACTCAGGGTGCTTTGGGGGAGGGGTCAATCTCAGAGCCTGCAAGCCTGAGGCGTGGGGAGGAATGAGAACCAAAAGGCAGGCTGGGAGGTGGGCAAGAGGATGGAGGGGTGGCCAGACCACCAAGGAAAAGACAAGGGGGAGCAGGGAGCAGGGCAGCGGCTAAGGAGTAAGGGATGGAGGAACGGACCCACAGTGGATCTAGGGGAGGAAAACAGAAAAGTGAGAGAAGGAAGACTCCAAGCCCAGAGTTAGCGAGGGAGGAGGACAGGTGAGCAGAGGCACAGGCGGAGCCAACAGTGGACAGAGAGAGTGGAGTGAGGGCTAGATCTGGCATGAGAGCCTCCAAAAGAGACAGCCAAAAGACAGGAGAGTTCTGAGAGAGACAGAGAGGGCCTCCCCTAACACCAAGAAACGGTAAGGCTAACAGTAAAGAAGAGAGAGAAGTTGGAGATTCAGAGAGAAGCCCAAAAGAAACATGAAATGGAGATTCAAAAACAGAAAGCCATTTCCAGGAGATAGAGACCGGCAGGGATCTGGATGGGCCCATAGCAAGCAGAGAAGATGAGGCTCAGAGGGAAAAAGAGAGAGAGAGAGACACTGAAACAGAGTGGGAGAGAGCAGAGCCGGTCACCAGAACCGAGGCTGGAGAAAGCAGGGGCGGAGACATGCCAAGAGTCCAGGAGAAGGAGTGAGACCACAAGTAAGAGCCAGACAGCCCCTCAGGACCCCAGGAGCTGGGGGCTGTGGGGCCACGGTGAGCTGTACCCAGAAGAAGGGGTGAGAAAAGGCCGAGGTGAACGGAGGTTGCGGAGATGGAGGGCGCCGGCAGGCCCCTGGTGGGGGAGGGGGGAAGAGAATGTGGGGGCCCTGCCAGGCAGCAGTGAGCCCAGCCTTCCAGGACCCAGGCCGGGCCCCAGCCCAACCCCCGCCCTGCAGACACTCACGGATCCTGGTGGGACGGAGAGCGAGGACCGACCACAGGAAGATGCTCTGGTGCTGGGTGGTGGTATGGCTGGGGCGGGGGGAGAGGGCAGTCCACAGGGCCCCCTCCCCCGCCTCCCGCGGTGGTCCCCAACTAATCCAAAACGGGGCTCCCCAAGAACAGGGAGGAAGGACAGGTGGTAGAGGAGAGGGCGGGCCGAGGAGGGGAGAAAGGGGAAAGGAGAAAATGGAGGAGAGAAGGGGAGAGAGGAGAGGGGAAGGAGCAAATGGAGGGGAAAGAGGGAGGAAAGGAGGAGAAGAAGGTGAAAACGAAGGGAGGGGGCCAAGGCCAAGCCGGGGGAGGGGGAAGCCGGCCCAGGAAAGGGCCCCGCCCCCTCCCCTAGCCGGGCCGGCCTGGGGGGGCCACGGGGGGCGAGGACTGGGTGGAGACCAGAAAGACGGCCATCAGGGGAAGTGGGGGAGGGGAGGGCTTGGTGGGGGGGAGGGGGCCACCCCTTCCCCCCTCCCCCCTGGAGCCTGGGCCCTGCCCTGGCTGAGGCAAGGGCCTGGAGTCCTCAAGCCCTCAGCCCCCACGGGAAAAGCATGCTGGGGGCGGGGAAAGGCCGAGGAGTGGAGGGGCTGGGAGGATGGGGTGCTGGGAGACCCGGAGAGGCCGAGAAGGCGGCAGGCGAGGTGGTGAGATGGGGAGGAGGGCAGGAGGAGGGAGGAAAGGATGGAGAAGAGCAGGTGGAAGAGGAAGGCGGAGGAGGGTGGAGTGTCCCAGGGGCGCCCGGTGCAGGGCCTCGGAAGGAGGGCCTGGCCACGGACTCCTGGTCCCCTGCGAGGAGCAGCCGCCGGCTCCGGGTCCCCAGCTGAGCCTGCCTCCCTGCTGCTGGCCGCCACCGCCGCTGCTGCTGCTGCTGCCGCTGCCGCTGCCGCTGCTGCCGCTGCTGC